GTGGAATGGCATTCCATTGGATTATCTGTGGAGGTATACGTAGTTGCCTCTCTCTTCATGTCTTGGAAATATTTATAACTACTTTACCAAGTTACCTTAAAATGGCCGGAATGGAATATGTATGTAATTGAGGAAGTAAAGTATTACCAGTGATAATTTCAAACGATTTTTTCATTAGATGAGCTATGAAGTTAGCCTGAAATATATGGGCTTGATATTGAGTATATAGCGTTTAGGACATGCCGAATGTCATCATATGACTTCAAACTCACCCTAAAAGTCCTTAAATTCATTATTACTATAGCTAGGAGTGAAATAAATGTTTATTTCAGGGCAACCGTAAAGCAAATCATTTCAAGCTGGTAGGTTCCTTCATAAAGTTATTTAAGTTATACTTACATAATTGAGCCTAGGCAAAGTGCTGTTTAGCTAATTGCCAGATGCTAGTAAAAATTACAACTTTGTTTGAACACTGTGTCAAGATTGAAAATGAAAGGCATATATTTTGCTTAGTTTTTAAAACTAAACCAGACAATCAGTTTGTTACCTGTTTGTTGCCTTTGATACATGTCACCCAAACATGTGACTACTGTATCGAATTTTTATGTTGGAGTAGCAGAAGTTCCAGTTTAATTTTGATAAGTTGATTTTCATTCAGATTATCCACATTTGTTTCAGCCGATTCAGTTGTAATGAATTTGATTTCTGTTTTTTGTTAAATTTTAGTCGGCTTTATTCAATTTTCAAAGTCTCATCTCCGTGCTTTTGTTGCTAATTTGCACCTGTACTTATATACGTACTTTTGTACCGAAGCTGATCGATCGTAATAAGGAGGGGTTAGTTTTGTTGATTGCTATTTCTATTATCGTTTTACTTATTTTCGAGGTTGAGTTTTCTAGAATAACTCGTGTTGAGATCTCTTCTTATTCAGCCTACTCTCATAGAATCAGCCAAAATAATATGAAATCGATTAGAAAGACTAAAATTACAAAGATCTGAAGTGTTTTATTCTGTCTCCCTCAAGTTCACTCGTATAATGGGTAACTATAATATGCATGAGATTCCCTGTGTAGAAAGCGAGGATAGTCTCAAGTACTGTACCCAAACGGAAACATGCTGCCATACATTAGAAATAAATGCAAAAGAAACAATGAATAATAAATATAAAAAAGAGTGACAAAAAATACCTAATTCATATACGTAAATATATATATATATATATATATATATATATATATAG